CAGCAGGAGAGATGTGGAAAATTCCTCCTGCTTTAGGTTAATTGTGTCTTTGGAACTCTGGTGAGTTGCCATTTTTTAAACTTAGTTTTTGCTTTATGTGAGGTTCAGATACACAGTGATATCTATCTGGCTCTTTGAAATGCTTTCGGTTGCTAAGGAAGTGTGGTTATGCTCTCAGTCCAAAAGAAGCAATTCCCTGGAAAGCGCTGAAAAATAAGGACATTTCAGAGTTAAATCCTGTCATCATTTCATTTTAATATTATTTTCTTGTCTTTCTTTTTCCTTGTGCTCCAAGTTATTTTATATTTGTGGATGCTAAACTCTTTTTCTTATAAAGTTAAAAAAAAAGGCTACATTAGTATAAAAAAAAAGCCACCCTTATTTGTTTTTCGAGAGCTGTGTTCATCAAAAGCACAAATTAATTGTTGTGACAAGTTAATGGAGCTCTTTGAAATAATTTGAGAAAATAGAATGTGCTTGCTGACTGTACAAATCTTGGCTAGTGAAAAATGACCAAAAATTTACCAAAAGCAACTTTATTGTAAGTCAAACAAAAAATCTACTAAAATCAGGTTACAGTTAATAATGGTTATTAATATCTCTATTATTATTACTACTGTATTTTACTGTTCAAAAGATCAAAATTGGAGATCATATTGCAGTTGATTTGTTAATTTTTACAGATGGCTAAATAAATGCGTCTAATTTTATTAATTCATGCTCGCCTCAAGCTGAGGTACAACTTAATACAACATTTTTTAATGAATCACTTTCTATCTTTCACCTTTTTGACCTGATGATATGAGTGAATAGATTTAGAAGACAAAACCTAGAACTTACATCTTATGATTGTTGGTAGTACACATAGGTAGAATACAAAAACGTATTTGAAGAGTTAATGGGAAGCTGGTTAGCTGGACTGTTTTGGTATTGTCTCTGTGTATACTATTAAATTGGCCTTAACTTATTTTTCTTTATAAATATACTAACACTTAATGTTAAGTAAATAGTCACAGAGAGAAAATACGTTAAATATAGCTTTGGGAGTTTAAATTAGGTTTCTAAATAGATTGCTTAATTTTTGAGTGTTTTAGATCACAGTTCATTACCTTACTTGGCCAGAAATAAAAACATCATGTTTAACATGTTGTTCTCATCAGTACTTCTTTATATTCCACAACACTTCCACACATAAAATGATACTTAAGGTTAGCATAATTTCACTCTCAGAAATTATAAACACTAAGTTAGATAGCTGGGTCAAGGAGAATTATATTTTCTCTCACAGTTTTTTTGCCTGGCAAACAGGATATATGGCTATTTGTATCTTTTTGGTCTAGATCCTTTGCATTGAAATGGGATAAATCCTGATTCCTTGATAAATTGTAATATAGTAGAAATTGCTTATAAAATCATGTATAAGCATTTAAAGTACCATTTTTGATATAGAATTTTTCAGCTGATTTAAGATATTTTTATATTCATGACTATGTAGCATTAGTATCAGTTTGTAATGTTTTATCATTATTAACTGTTCTTTGTCAAATACATATTATTTTGTTTTCATTGAAGATTTGGGTACTTTTTCAAAGCTTTAAATTTCAATGTAAAATATTCTTGGTGTTGTAAAATATGGCGTAAGTGAGCAACTATGGAAAAAATATAAAGACTCTACAGTCTCTTAAATCCATGTAGGTGCTGCTCAGCTGTAGCTTGTCCATTGATGCTGCAGCTAGGGCAGTGCTGCTACACTAGTCAAAGCTATAATAGAGAATATTTTACTTACTGCAAACATTGAACAGCAAGGCTGCTTTTTTCCTTGTGCATTGAAAGTCCAACTTTGTTTTCTTATGGTTCAGAACTTGAATGCCAGTTAAAACTTCACCATGTTTTTAAGGACTTCCTGATGATAAAGACTATTTATGACATATTAAGGAAAATAGTTTCTTATTTAGCATAAAGCACTTTAAAAAAATTGTGTTATAATGTGATATGGGAAAGGTGGAGTATCTTAGGAAAATAATTCTTTGATCTTTGTTTAGATTGATAACCAAATACTTAATCTTTATTGAGTAGATGTAGTCTTCCTTCAGCTTCAGGTTTGACCTTTCCGCTGGTCTTGTGCCATCCATGTAGTATTTCTGAAGGGATTGTCCTGATAGAAATCCAGTTCTTGGTGACATGCATTTGCATTACACTCTATTCAACAGTAGGCTGAAGTTCAACGTTAGCCTGAGGGAAGATCTCCTGGTCAGTGTAAAAACTACATTAGTAAAGACTCTGCTCTTGAAAGGTGTGGACCATATAAATTACCCTGTCATTTTGCTCAAGTAAATAATGCTGAAAGGGCAGTCATGTCTAAGTGGCTTTCTGGTGTCTTGGCATTCATTGTTTTAAAACAACAAATGGGTCCTTCAGGCTAATGTTATAGAGCTAATGCATTGTTGCATTCTAAGAACACACTGAAATAGAACAGGATTAGCACTAGTGATCCTTTTATCTTTTCTTCACAAGCAGCATGTTTTGACAATAGTAGTATGACGAGAAGGAAGAAGACAATTAGCTAAGAATCAACCAGTGTAGTATAGCAGTGAATTCTATCAAGACAGATATTTTGAGATGTTTGCCTGGGAATTTCACCTTTCTCAGGCTAAAACAAATGAATGTTAGTCAATTAGACTTGTCCTTCTTTAATCCCTGCACTTGTATTCATCTAGCTTCCTATTTACAATACTTTTGTTTAATATATAAAATATACAGTAAATGCCAATTGCACAATATTTTAAAGCAATTGCTTTCTATCATTTCATCAGTAGAATTCAGTAGCTAGGTTTCCTGAGAAAAAGATTGTGCATACTGTATAAATGTGCCTAGTTTGTGCGTGATTTAAAGGCTAGGCATAGTAAAACCATGCTTTTCCTAAAGCTAACATGTTTTCTATCTCTTAATATTGTCATTTTTCTAATTTAGTGAATAAAACAAAACTTTGTGATTTGAGAAATCTTTTTTAATCTAAAAAAAACACTTCTTAACTTGATCATTTCAAATTAGAAGAGAATATTTAGTTGCTTTCACAATTATCATGTAGATAAACTCTTACTTGTTTATGTCTGCTTAATTTCTTTTTACTATGTTGCATAATATAACAAAATTATGTGGATAAATAACACAACTAACACCCAAGAGAAATTTGTTGCCAGCTTTTAACTTTCCTGGCATGTTCTTGGGAATTTGCATTGTTAAGCTTATAGAAGGGCTAAATTATCATGTATAAATGGAAAATCATAGAGCTAGAAGTGACCTTAGAGGTCATTTAGAGAGTCCACCCTCTCTTTAATGCATGAGTCCATTCTGTGACAATTCAGGAAAGTGGTGATTCATGTCCTCCTTGAACATTGTCAGTGACAAAGAGCTCACTACCTCACCAAGGTAGCATCTTTCATTCATGGACAGCTCTTCCTGCATTGAG